AATAAAAGGTCTGTTCGTTGAAGTGTAATAAGGGATAGGGGTGTGGTGAGAGCAAGCTGCTAGCCAATTGGTAGACATTAATCTACGTCAATGTCTAGGTCACTAATATTGGCAATGAGAAAATATGAGCAAGGCTGATTAAACAACCAATCACACCAAATTTAACGTGGGCAAATATGATTCACAGATAGATGGCTGCACTTTTCGATGGTTACCCGAAACAACCAATTAGAAGCCTGCGTTTGTCTACTTGTCTATGATAATGTACAGGAAATATATATACATACGTGTTGATTTCCGTAATAAAACGATCTGTTGCCGGCCCTTGTCTTCTGTTGTTACAGGGGGAATTCATGTATACAGGACGACAGGTCACACCCAAAGTAATGTAATATAGTACTAATGGATTCACAGATTTCCAAATGGGTCACGGTAACAGTAGCCGTTGGACTTGTTTATTTTGTACACTAGTTTTGGATCATTTCATGTGAACTGCTATAGCTTCTGCTGCTTGGAGAATTTTCTATCTTGTATCCTTTAGTTATTTATTCAGTATAAAATAGACGATATAAAAGGGTAGTCTATTTTGACCATTTGCGCTAATGTTGAATTGTTAGTGCTTTTGACTACACTTTTAATTAGCCACAGTGGTAAGTATCCCCAAGCACGAAAAAATAATTTCCTGAAGCAACGGTTGATTTAATTATCTCTAGAGGAACTATTGAGTTGATAGATATATGAAAGAATGGCTAGGTTGGGCCTTCCATCTTTCTGGTTGATTGTCACAACTGAGTGTAGAAAATGTGAGCTACGATTTATCAGCATTAAAAGTTCTCTGAATTGAATCTCCTAACTTGCTTATTTCGGCTACATTTTGTAAATCATTTCTAAATTGCAATCTCATGTACAACGGTTTCTGGTACACTGTTGCGAAGCATTTTCCTTCGAATTTCGTAGTCATGTGCTTCCTTATGAACTTCTATAGATAGCTATTTCTTACCAAGTTGTCTAATAAGTCTTTAGTTCATCTTCTGTAACATCTTCCGAATATGTGGTTCTCACTCTATAGCTACATGTTTTGATCAGATTTCTTCTGTACAAGATAATAAAGAAGATATAGAAACATGTCTGTTGCCCCGTCCATGTACTTTTCCCAAGTAGATTTCTTTCCAAATAATCATTTAATATTCTTGTATAGTGGCCAGCTTGATTTTCCACAGGGAATTTATTTAGTTCCTTGATAAACAGTCTGTATTCACGTGCATCTCTTAATGGATTTCTGAATATCTCTTGATCTGTTGTGAAGTGACAGATATGTCAGGAAGTGGAGCATTCTTAATAGTCAAATTTAGAATATACACATGTTTTGAACTGTAATCTTGTGATAATCGCTTCACATCTCTTCACATTTTTGATCATATGACTCAGTGTTATTAAAAACCATTATTGATGTCAACAACAAGTGTATGTTAACTATTATGGAATTATCACTGTAGAACTAGAAGAAATCAATGTTTTGAAATTTACAATAGGCGTCATTAATAAACCTTTGTTTCAGATTGGCTACAGGACTTCATCATGAGCTGACATCAATTAGAGAACTATTGAAAAACCAACTGGGTGTACTGCTAGACAGCTGTTTCGTCAGCCTAGTTCGGGACACTTTAGTAGTACGCATCCACTGGGGTTCGAACCCAGGACCTTCTGGTTACAAGGCGAACTCATAGACTATGAAGTCACTGGGAACCTATCCAGTGACCCATGAGTTCCAACTTCTACGAATTCATGCACGACATAGTGCGACCGCTAGTCAATGTTTCCGGCGAGTATTTGTTCTCACACCCAACCTGTTTCACCCTACTGGTCATGGCTTCCCACTAGAAACCAAAGTGGTTTACGATTTCATTACCTTGCCTACCAGGTCTATTACCCTATGGTTATGTAGTATATTTGACATATGTTATTATATTCACAGGATGTTTTCCTTACTCTTTTATTCAGTTCTTCATAACTCCATAGTCATCCACCAATAGTACCACTGTGTTTACACCATATCGTTATCATTATTATCTATTTATTTATTCAATCCCATCTAATCTCATTGTTCTCATTGACCATATATTTTATATGTACCTGAGCGGCAATTAAAATTCACTAATTGTTATTCCGCCTTATACTTATATCAGAATAAAGTTTCTGATATAATTTTGATTTGCCTTTACTGTATTGTATTCTAACATTTACTCAAAATAATTATTTGCCCTAATTAGTGTTGTTAAATTCAAGTATCTAGAGTATAATATTGTGAACAATCTTAATAGCGCATTCGTAGCTTCCTTCTAACCCCTTATTTTTGTGAACTTGACCAGTAACTATTCAGTGTAATGTTACTACGTGTGACTTATTGTGGTTTATTTTCCATTTACCTTTGTTTAGGTCACATACAGTACATATTTTTCAGGTCCACCTGAAGAGTTCTATTGAAACTCTAATGAATATATTAAGTCTGCTGCTTAGTTATTAAAATACTTTACATCGCTTATTGATTTATTCTACTGCGTTGAAGTATGTCTGCTACCACATTCTCAGCAGAATTCAGTCTTATATTGCTTTTCTCTTCAGGATGTAGTCAAGGGAAGTAAAACACAATCGATATGAAGTATTCTACAAAGTTATACATTGGTTGGAGCAAGAAGTGATAACGCAGTGTGAAGGTCAGCTGGAAAATCACCCCATCTATTGGTCTGAAATTCAGAAAGTACAACTCAATAACGATTATTTATGAAATGATGCTTAAACGAACAAAAGGTAAATGTTTCAGTGTTAAACAGATAATTCATAGTACTCCTTACATGTATTTCTAGACGTTCAGAAGCTTTTACTATACCAACTTTTTAAATTCAGGTTTACCAATCGTCATTGTAGTCAGAAACACTACCGATAAGCTACTTTAACCTTCTCTGATTCTAAGCAATATTCTCTTTAGTCACTAGGCCGTAATTTATGTCATAGTGCTTAGACCTTATTATTATTTTATTGTATTCCTTTTCATTCCCAATGGAACATAGGGCTTCAAGCTGAGGTTTTGAAGTTTCAGTAGCAGCGGTATTTTTTCACGAGGTGGGTTTGCTAGCTTAATGCCCCACCTCCACTCTTTGCCTAACTTACCACCAGCTGAGGGAGGAAAAGTAGTTTGTCGGCTAGGAATCGAACCGCAAACAACTCTCGTGGTTGGCTAGTGTTTACCGCTGAACCACTGAGGTGCTTAGAATTTAGAGCTGACTGAATTATGTCGGCCATGCTTTAAATGTGGTCACCTGGCTAGGAGACTAATTGCGGTGGTGTGCTTTGAGCTGATATTAAGCAGTCGAACTTCAGAATCTCCATGGTGTCTTTCAGTTTTGCTAAACCACTTCTGTTTTATTAATATTCTCTATTGGACACCAAGTGCCTCATGTTTAAATGCTTTTGGTGTTTATAAAATTCCCTTAAAATATGAAACCAAAAGGTTTAGTATTATCACTTAATGATGGTTTTCAATCATTCCCTCGATTTTTATTAACTGAAGTGTTAATCATTGTTAAATAAACCACACCATATGAATAATGACAATCGTTATTACGATTCATTGTTTGAGTTCGAATGAGAATATAGGGCCTCAGTAGCACATTTTTATCCCACTAGGCCTACTGCTAATACTTTAAACTGGCTTCACGACAACCCACAACATGTCTTGTCATCTTTATACGGTCTTCACCGTATCACTGTTGAATGCTGAACTTGTCATTTCTAATTCTGCTTCCACTTTGGGAGTCTGCTTGGAACGTGATATCACTTAAATATCCAACCAATCTCCATTTCCTTCAGTATATCTGCTGAATTTTAGATTCTTGGCTGGTTTAAAGGGTTGACGGTATAGACGTTCGCGCACAGTATTGGGTATATTAACACAAGCTCTTATACATCAACTTCTAACTTATTAATTCGCGCGTACCAAAAGCAAAGCAAAAGACAGTATTTGATTGTCCAAATTACGCGATATATTCCAGGACCAAAATGAGTTGTTAGACGAACGCTTAGCTGGCTAATAATCGTGCCGCACGTGACACGACGGAGTACCAAATGGCGGGGATGCTTGACAGAAAGCCTTCAGTTAAACAAGTTGACTCAAACAGTGGTGGTCAGCATCCAATATTCAGTGATGATTGCTGTGGTCAATAATTTTGGGGAATTATTTACCGCTACACTGGTTTTCCACCAGAGTTCCTTGTTATTTAGATAAAGCTAACTGGAAAACCCTCCAGAACCTTCCAGGTCACAATTACTAAAACAATTTCTTTAATGAATAAATTTCATTTTGACAGAAACAGAAGGCGTATGAAGACAAAGAGTACCCAGATTTTACTGTTTATTAAGTAGAAATATACCACTAAAATGTAAAACAAGATTTTGATCAATTAACCTTTCATAGTGTAGAAGTTTTCTAAATTAGTATTTCTACTTTCCCAACTTGTTAGATGTATATTATAATTGTCAGTCTAAACAATTAGTTTTCTTTCCCATTTCTGTGAATATTAAATCTATCTATATATACATTTTTATTTTTTTTATTTACAGCTTGATTCCATACTGTATTTTTGGTACAAGTATGGAATTTTCAGCATGGATATCGGTAGCCCAAATTTTGCAGGCCGACCATAGATATCAGGTGTGCGTCGGCAGGGGATCGAACCTCGGACCATGTGCATGGTCGGCGAGAGTCCTAACCACTGTACCACCGATAAATGTGATAACTAGGATTTTTAGACTTTAGAGGAACATGAAGTAAAATGTTTGTCATCTTTCGTATTTCATTATTTAAAAATTTATTATTCTTATTTACATATAACTCTTATGGCTCATTTCAGATAGGTCAGATGTTATTAACTCTTTACAATTATATAATGTCTAACTCACACAAATTTAGTAAGGGAGAAATGAAAACTAGTTTAGTTGATAAAATTGTTTTTATTACGAACAAAATGTGCGTAATAAGAAATGGTCTTAAGTCATCTATGTTACATTTTTCTTTACATTTTTAATCTTTTTCCCTTTTTTTTATGAACAAACTACGGCATAACTAAGATGCCGTATTGTGTAAAATATGAATAAATGTCACAAAAGCTGGACTGTCTCTAATTACGATCACTCGTATTAGATAAATAAAAACAGTCATCAGCTTGAAGAGTTTACATTTACTTTTGATAAAAAAGGTATTTACATACATTCAGATGAATTTTTTTTTTAATGAATATAAATACTGTATTAATTATCTGGATCTTTTACAAGAAATTTCCCAACACTATCAAAACCGACTTCTTCATAATCTTTTTCAAGTGCAGCAAGATTTTCTCTAGCTTCAATAAATTCAGTTTCTTCCATACCTTCAGCAATGTACCAGTGAAGGAAGGCGCGTTTTGAAAATAATAAATCATATTTATGATCTATTCGACACCATGATTCAGCTATAGCTGTTGTATTGCTCATCATACATACAGCTCGAGTCACTTTGCCTAAATCACCACCAGGTACATTGGTAGGTGATTGTTTATTAATGCCAACTTTGAATCCAGTAGGACACCAATCCACAAAATTTATTGATCTGATAGACTTAATAGAACTTATTGCATTCTTGACGTCAGTAGGGAAAATGTCACCTCGATAGAGTAGACAGCAAGCCATATATTTCCCATGTCGTGGATCACATTTAACCATTTGATTATTTTTTTGAAAAACTGATTTTGTTAGTTCCATCGGTGTTAAACGATAATCATGAGATCTTTCTGGAGCAATAAATGGTGCATAACTGATAAGTGGGAAGTGGATCCTGGGATATGGTACAAGATTTGTTTGAAATTCCATTAAATCTACGTTTAAGCACCCTTCAAATCTAATTGCCACAGTAACTGAGCTAACAGCCTGGCTTATTAGCCTGTTAATATTTAGGTACGTTGGAGCTTGTAAATTTAAACGTTTACTGTAAATAAGTTATTAGAAAGCGTTTTGGAAAAATTTGACTTACCAGCAAATATCATACAATGCTTCATTATCAAACATGAATGTACAGTCAGAAAGTTCTAATGTAGTATGGGTGTTTAAAACGGAATTGTATGGTTCCACAACGGAAGTGGAAGTTTCAGGAGCTGGATAGATGACGAATTCTAATTTAGATTTCTTCGCATAATCTGCACATATTTGTTCCATAAGAAGTGATGTAAAACCTGACCCAGTTCCACCTCCAAAAGAGTGATAGATCATAAAACCTTGTAATGAAGAACATTCATCAGCACATCGTCGAATTCGATCCATAACATGATGAATCATTTCTTTACCAATGGAATAGTGTCCACGAGCATAATTATTGGCAGCATCTTCCTTTCCACTTATTAAATTGTCTCTATCGAAAAGATTTCTGTAGCATCCTTTACGTATTTCATCTATGACACTTTCTTCTAAATCAACAGCAATACATCGTGGAGTAAACTTTCCTAAAGAGGATTCTTTGAAAAAGACACTAGCGCCATAGTCTTCATCAAAAGTACAATTTCCTTTTCTTAAATTTCCATCTTCCTTTATACCATGTTCAAGACAGTATAATTCCCAACATGTGCTTCCAAGTTGTACACCCGCTTGACCTACGTGTATACTGATACATTCTCTCTACAAATAAATTATAACCTATCAAAGATAAATGAAATATAGTAAACTAACCACCATTGATAATTAATCCAGTATATTTTATTTATATCATACGAACATGGAATAAATTTAGTCAGCCTATATCAGCTATAGATTTTAAAAGTTACTCTTTTATCGATTTTTATTCAACAAATAATAAATATACACTGATATTACATTTAGCATTTATTAATATAGTAAGTTAATGAGCGTTATGACGGGATGACACTGATTTGTGGATTAGTCTAACTTGACTAGAATGCGCCTCCAGAAGGCGATACTATGAGCAACTGATGGCTTGAAAATATCTTCCACACTGAGACAGACAAACAGTCAGACCAGAACGATAACTTTTATCAGATAAAATATGTGGTATATTTAAAAACCCTTGAAAATTTAAGCCACACATTTTTTCAAAGTTTCCTTCACGTTCTCAGTGGAACATGGGGCTCAAGCGAGTGGCTTGAAGTTTCTGTAACAGTGTTTTATTTTACAGGATGGGGTTGCTAGCCTCGTGCCCAACCTTTCCTCTTTATTTATTTATTTATTTTTTGATTCCAAACCTTTTTTTGTTACAAGTATGGAATTTTCAGCATGGATATCGTAGCCCAAATTTCCCAGGCCGACCATAGATATCGGGTGTGCGCCGGCGTGGGCTCGAACCCCGGACCATGTGCATGATCGGCTACCGTCCTAACCGCAAAGCCACTGACTCACTTGAGCCACGAATAAACGAATCAAAACTGTACAGTAAAATTGTCATGTCAGGATGTGCATAAATCATGCCTTCATGGCTAACAGAAAAGCTTTTCCCTCCTAACAATTCCCTTTACTTAATTAATTCTTGATTAAGAGACCATAGGAAGGAACTCTGTAGGTTAGTGTATTCTCCGTCTACGACTATGAGTATTTGTACCAACATCTAAATGGTCTTTAGCGTGGAAGAAAGTCAAGACATTTTGGTCCATACAGTAGGAGAATTCACTTAAGTAAAATGGAGAGGAAACTGGAGAAAAAGACAGTTTTGATCGGATGAGATGTAGATAAAAGGTGGGAAAAATGTAGCATAGAATATTCACTTTCTACTAACAGTAAACGCCATGTTGCTAAGTTATTCAAAAGACATGGAATTATGAGTCAGCTAATATTTGATACGTTTATCCTGATGTATCAACAGCTGCCTTCACTGGATCCATCTTTAAGATCAAATGGCCAGGAAGAATTACCAACAATAAACTATGGGAACAAATCAGCCAATCACCTATTGCTCAGCAATTACGTAGGTGAAAATGGAGATGGATTAGGCACACACACTCTGAGGAGATCATCGAATGACATCTCCCGAGTAGAATACAGATATGAAACATAAATGGGGCGTGGGTCCTACGGTGACATGAATTAGATAATGCGAGGACAAGATGGTGGCCTATGGACGATTGTGAGTTCAACTGAAGAGGACTACAGAGAATAGAACAAAAAGGGGAGAGGCTGTTGAAGCCCCATCTTACACTTGGAACCCGGGTGAATAATAATATTATTTTGTATTCGAATAGCCTATTAACATGTTGTTTTCTTTCAATCCATACCTTCCCCACTCCTCCCAATTTTTCTGACGTTGCTGTCTCCTTTTTCTGTTTTTCTAATTTCATTGGAAAATTATTAGCTACTCTTGCCCAGTTTTCCCACAATCTTAACGAACTTATAACCCATCTTTCACACGTTCATCGCATGATTTAAAGAACTGCCCACATTTTCTCACTTCACCCATATCATTTCCAGAAATATCTTACACTATCTACTATTTGATTGTAATATAATCCACACTTTTAACCAACTTCACTTATGTTCACAAAGAATTCTCCAACCAGGGAAATGTTTTCAAATTACATAGTTTACTCATAATCAATTATAATTTATTACAAATTAAAACAACTCGCCTTGAACTTTTTTCGCTGAATGCTTATTGTGGTGATCTGTCAATTGTAAACCAACAAACACTTAATACATATATGAATCAATGAGTCATGTTGGTCTGTTTGATTGCCTTCTGTCTAACATAAAGACATACGTTTCAAACAGATATACCAACTTAGTCCTATTATTGATCATTTCGTATACGTCACAATGTCTTTGTTTTCAAATTCTGTTTGTGAGAATTCCATTGCTTTCCCACTAAACACAGAAATGAATCAATATTTAGACACATCAATCAAATGACATGTGAAGGACATGCTGTCGTATAATGCAGTGATAAAAGTTCGAATTCAAGTGACATTGCATCTTATATCAGAGGCTAAATGTTGATCTGATCACCTTGTAATTTAATGACTATGGGTCCCCTGGTGGGTGAGATTATATTTGCATGGTTAAAGAGTTATAAAATAGAAGGAAGTAGTTGTTCACTGTAGGTTGCTTTTATACCCAATTATTTAACTTCTGTTAGTTAGTGAAGAATTCTAACTTGGGACTAATTTTGTACTTTCATAAACACTGTATCTTGGTATGGAGCAAGCTACTCACAAAAGTCTGCAAGTAGTATCTTGATGATGACTTCTTCAAGAGTGGCGAATAGTGGAGCAATGGGTTAAGTTTCACAAAACGGAAAATTAAAATTACTGTGAAGCAATGAGAAAGTATGAAATGAAGACAAAAGAAGTAGAAAAGGAATACAGTTTGCGAACTGAAGTGTCAATATTAAGTTTTCATATTTCACCATCAGTGTATTTCATTTTGCCAAATACACTTCTGTGATACATGGCTATGTTTGGTTAGTGGTATGAACATGTACTAGGAGAGTACCCTACAAACCGAAGGTACTGGGTTTGAACCCCAGTGGGTGCGTACTCCCGATGAGCCCATAACTAGGACCAAACAGCTGTCTAGTCAGCACTAGTTTTTTAACCTAGCTTAAACAGTTAGTTCGCTATTTTTCCAGCCGATTCCAAGCCCAGGAAAAGAGGGAGGGTTGAGCGCGAGGCTGGTGACCTTATCCTGGAAAATCAATCCAAGGGATATAAAAACTACAAAGCCCCCAAAAATATAGAAAACAAACTTATTCTTCGCTAGAATTGAAGACAAAATGGTGTTGAGTGGTGAAAACCGATGAAAGAGAAAACTGGCATAGAGACATGGAATGTTCTTTTGATGTACGGAGACAGGAGGGCCAAAGAAATTAGAAGATAAGGTATGGAATTCCTCAGAATCTGTGGGAGCAGGTGGAATGCATGTGGACTGTCCAAAAACCGAAAATATCCATTGAGTCATGAAGAAAATAAAATACAATATAGAGAAGAAAATTTCCCCTACAGATGAAATCATCTTCTGAGACTGCACAGTCGTATCTATATTTACCAACAATTTATAATAGTCCATTATTGATTAATAAAGGGTTACATACGTCGATATAATTATTTATAAGTGGCTACGAGAGCAAAAGTAAAAGTTTTTAATTACGTAATACTCAACAGCAAAAAGGAAGAAAGGGTTAGAAAAAAGGGTTAAAATTGTTATTAAGTGAGAAGAAAAGAATCTGAGTAACCACTAAACAAGTGTGAAGAGGGTGAAAACACGTACAAAAAGAACATGTGAGAGTGATAATAGTGAATTTATTATTTAAGTAAAAGCAAACTGAAAGTAAAAATAAAAATTTACAGGAAACGACTAGTGAAGAGCTTAAGTACATGGTAGAATAAGAGACTGGACAAACCTTTTTGTATACACAGTTCAGGGTTTTGTTAATAAATCACCAACACCTTCGCCACACACAGTTGCCGCAACCTTACGCTCTTTGTGCAATTTGGTCTGATCTTGTAGAAAATCGTGAAAGACAACTCTGGTGGAGCTGCATGGCTTGATTTCACCAAGTGCTCAAAAACTGAGCTGGTAACTGTCTTGCATTGTTGTTTTGCAAAACATGCCGGGTAATGTTCAGAGATATGTTTGGAAAGTGTTCGCTTTGTGCAGCCAATATAACTAACTCCCCAGTAACAAGTGAATTTATAAATGTATGGTGAAGTCGCCCAAAGTGGTGGTCTATCCTTCACACATCCACTGATCATTTGTCATCTGTAGAAATCGATCCACAGCTCATCAGAAAAGAAGGCTTTTCTCAGTGGTATGGACAAGCTGAATTGTCTTTTATTATCTTTGTGATTCTCCAAATTGTTAATTAGAGTCGACAACCCACTCTGGTCACCGAGACGACAACCGCCATCACACCGATGGAGTGGCTATCATGATGTCACCAGCAGTAACCAACATTGGAAACCAATCCTCTCTTGCACAAATAATGACGTCAAGATTCAACTCAAAGGTAGGAAGGGTTACAGTTGTCTAATACTATGCACCTACAAACAAAGCAGAACAAGAGAAGAAGGAATGGACAACATCCCAAATGGTGACATCAAAGTTCTTATGAGCGATATGAATGCCAGGCGAACTAGGAACAGATATACAGGAAGAGAACTCATCATGGGTCGAGAGGCTCTCACTCAGCGAAATGAATGAGAACGCAGACTTCTGCGCTTTCAATGATTTGGTGATCGGAGACAGTGTGTACAAGCATAGAAATATACACAAAGTAGCATGGATTTCGCCTGATGGACACACAAAAAACCAGAAAGATTTCATCTCATTGCTGCTCAAAGTAGTGGAAATGCAGCTAGCCTGCAATACACAAAGTTTTGAAGGGGAGCCGATGTGTACTCAGTCCACCTATCTAGTTCAAGGAACCTTCAGGGTGTAGCTGAAATCCCTCAAAACAACTGGAGACAGGCCACAATTCAAGTTCAACATTCAGCAACAGAAGGACAAAAATGCAAGGGATGGCTTCACTACAGAACAGACCAGAGCAGAGTCGGAGACACTACGTGTTATCACTGAGGAAACCTACGTGGAAGAACATGGGAACTCTCTGTAAGTGATGTTAGAGGAAACATGTACAACTGGTCAGGGAAGAAGGAAGAGACAACATAAGGAATGGCTCTCTATAGACACTTGGAATCTAATTAAAGATGGCGAAACAGAAGATAAACCAGTGCAAAGATGGACAACAGAAGGCGAAGCTGATTTCGAAGTACATCACACTGAATAA